GTCGTTTGCTAACTCTTTTCTGGACGATGAAATGGTGATCCCCATCGATGATTAGAAAAGAATCTGATTGTTCAACGTAGCTCAGAACACAAATTCCTGATGTTTGAACTCCTGATGCAGTTCAGAGCGTGAACTCCTGATAGTCTATATGTAGAGGATTCTTGCTGAGAAATGGTTTCATTCAACTGCTGCAGCCATTGATACTCATATCTATAATTAACACAAACCATTTGATGAGATCAATTTTTCTGAGAACTCTCGAATGAACAATCGTCTTTGCGAGCATCTGCATTAGAGATCGTGTAACGATCACTGAGTGGAAATGCAGTCACATCTAATAACCGACGGGCGATTAAATTTATATTTGAGTTTTCTTAATTTTTAAAGATTTTGACACTTCATTGTGAAATACTACAAGGAATCCCACTCAGCACTATCCTACTCGCTTTCTGCAAAGACTTGATTCGAAATTTGCATTAAGATAAAGCCGACAATGGTGAGTCAGAGGTACAACAAAATCAGAATCTGAACCAAAATGAGAATCAGAATCAGAAAGACAGTGCAAAATTGTCAGAAGAGTTGCATCCAGCAGCCACACCACAGCCAGCAGCAGCAACAACACCTCCAGCTGGAACCGGATGAATTTACAACGAACAAACGATGACTACGATGACGAATTCTCGCCAAGAATTTAGTCTAATCAATGCATTAATCATTCATCCGATTGTCTTAAACATAGAAATTATCACTTTATATTACAATGATAAAATTTGAGAAATGGATTCAATTTTTCATGTGAATAATTTTTGAGATCGATCAACTGCATCCTTTATGGTATTATTCAATAAATGTGAATTTGGATCATTAGCTGTGAGCTTCAATTAAGCAGATTCGTTTTGATCATTAGAGATCATGCAACGATCACTGAAGTGAGTGGAAATGCAATTACATCTAACAACCAACCGACGGGCGATTCAACTTATATTTTAGTTTTCTGAATTTTTGAAGATATTGGCACTTCGTTGTGAAATAGTACCAGGAGTCCCACTCAGTGCTATCCTACTCCATTTCTGCAAAGACTTGAATTCGAATATTTCACGATTTTTTCCAATTTTGATCGTGTTTCATTCATTGTTATTATCTGATGTAAATAATAACTTCGCATTTAGAAGTTTCATAAGTTTGCTGTAAGGAACAATACAGCGAATACAGTATCAGAAGAATCAGATATTAGATAAATAAGGAACTGCATTTATTATTATTATTATCAGATATCAGATAAATACAGTATCACATTGATAAATGCAGTCTCAGAAGCATTCCATTATTCCTTTTTTGTAATGAACCTTCACTGGAAAAAGCAATGAATTTCAACAAGGACTTAATCTATTCGTTGTTCGAAGAAATTTGTTTTTGTGCGAAGGTTTTGTTCGAGTTACCGACAAGAACGCCTTGATATGATTACACTCTTCATATTTATCATTATCTGAGTCTGAGTGTCAGTTACTCCGTTTTATTACGTTGTACAAATACAGTGAACTACAGCATAATCGTACACAATATCACAGTGAAATAATATTCGAATGAAAGATTTTGAAAAGAAACGGCAATTGTATGCCAAAACTCCTGTATAAAACATTTAAAATCGAAGAAAGTAAAGTGTATTCTGACAAAATTTTGTGTTCCATCATGAAATGAGTTTTCAGCGGACAACTCAGATGCTTTGAAATAACTTTGTTGTAACCGTACAGATAATTGAACATTTGAAAAACCCGATAGATTTGGGAAAAATAAAAAATGTGGATGGATCGCTTTCACGAGATATTGTTGAGTTGAACCATCTGCACGGCAATATCACCGCTCAACTCGAATCTGTCCACGTCTTTCATTGGAACGTCACCACGATAGGTGAAGCGCGTGAATTCTCTACCGTTTATCTCGATCTACAAAGCGATTCATTGATCAAGACAGCAAAACAAGGAGTACTTATCAACTCAAAGTAAATTTTTTGCTAACAGTTGAACACTTCTGGGAATTCTATGAACAAAACTGCCAGAGGCATCTAATTGTAACCGTTATGTGGCCGAGACCCGCTGTGAGTACCATATCGAACGTGACACCGAGGATGAATGGAAACTGATTGATCTGACGTTCTTCTTTTTGCCAAACTCCTTCCAAACAGCTGTTCCGAATAACTGCCCCCTATGAAAAGAAAACACTACGAAAGGTGAAAAGGAGATAAAACAGTCAAAACAAAGTCTTGCTTCAACGGCACAACGAGTGGCACACCGTATGAGAGAACAACCCCCGGTTCATAACGTATCCACAAAATGGAAAGAGCTTTTCAAATGAGATATCTCATCAGTGATTAGTATTGCACTCAATTAAAAATTCGAAATATGCTCAACTTGTCGCTTTCCTTTCGGGAAATCCACACGAACATGCAGCAAATGATCACGATTTGCATTGTTGCGCAAGAAGTTCACAGCGAAACGTTCGGCGTTCATCAGTGGAGTTGCGGTTATCTTAACTGTTGCGCCGACCACGAGACCACCGTGGATCGGTACCACTAGAGGCATCTTCTGAATCCCAGATAGAGAAGATTAGTGACGTTCGGAACGAAGGCTGACATGGTCTGCATTCTCATATATCGTAATTATAATGTCACAGTGATCTCATCGTATGAGATATTTTCAGCTAGTTTTGAATTTATGCATAATCAGATGGGATTCAAGGATTCATGATCGAAAATATTTGATCCAATGTAAGATTTGATATCCCCTATGCCAACCCATTAAAGTGCTCATACGTGATTCCCAGCGAGACATCTGAATGAAAACTCACGGGTCTCCGAATTTGCTGTTGACTGTTGCTGCTTTCTGGTACAGGTCGTCCATCTGGACGCTGAAAAAGACAACATCTGACAGTGTATATCCATGATCAGCAGC